CATCTATGTTATTATCATCAGGTCTTGGTGAGCTCTGTTCTTCCATATACGGTAATAACTCTAGTTTGTTAATAGAATCATGGTCATCTAAGATCCTGCAGATTTATCGTACTCTGGATAATTATTTATGTTATTATCATCAGGTCTTGGTGAGCTCTGTTCTTTCATATACGGTAATAACTCTAGTTTGTTAATAGAATCATGGTCATCTAAGATCCTGCAGATTTGTCGTACTCTCTGGATATTTATCTATTCTACTATCATCAGGTTCGGGTGAGCTCTGTTCTTCCATATACGACGATAACTCTAGTTTGCTAATAGAATCATGGTCATCTAAGATCTTGTAGATTTATCGTACTTTCTGGATAATTATCTATGTTATTATCATCAGGTTCGGGTGAGCTCTGTTCTTCCATATACGGTGATAATTGTGGTTTACCAATAGAAGGGTCTTGTAAGCTCGATAAAGTCGTTCCTTCATAGGACTGTAAGTGATGACTGGTGTTGGCGTCTACGTCTATAGGGTTATCATTGTCTGGGGGGAGAGGTGAGTCGGATGTCGAAGGAAAGTGGACTTGGATTACTTCCTGTGGTAAGGTGATCTGCATTAGGCCTGGGTTGGGATGGGATGATTCACTTTCTGTGTCTGATGATCCTGATTTACTACAGTCATCCTGTAGGGAGAAAAAGGCAATGAAATATTTAGGCCAGTTCTAAAAAAATAGGATTAACACAAAGCTTTTTAAAGTGTGGTCGCATGAGGAAACTGCTCTGAAATCGTCGCGAGCGATGATACCGCGACGTTTCACGTGACTTCACATTGGCCATGTTGGTGTACCAAAACAACACATTTTCTATCCTCCGTGAATTGAACTCTATTTTTATGCAAAAACTGCGCAGAAAGTTTCTATTGTTTATGGCTGCCTTCTCACGTGAGTGAAAACGTTCTGACGGAGTGGGAAGATGTTCTTACTTTTACAGTCACGCTCACTACAACATACATCATACATAGCTGATGATTCACGGATGGCGTGACACCATGAGATGTTTTGTCGTAAATTRTGCAACACTAGGATRGCGTGACGTGTGCATACGTAAACTGGCTAGCATACRWAAATCAGCCTATCACGATCGAGAAATTCAACCAATAAGCGACTCGTTACCTGGAATATCACAGCCGGTGGTTTAAACTGATCTTCAGGGTTCATCGGAGTACGAAACTCAAGTGACCGCGAGTGGCTTGGGACGTATTTATTATCTATTACCAGTCTCTCACAAGTTGGACTTTGCTCGGTCAACACCTCAGTAGACACCAGTTTCCTGTTYGGCGAGGTTTCATGAGAACGCAAATGACTGACCATACTTGTGATTGACAAGTCAAARCCACCGTCGTGTTTCAAATTTTCAACGTCGGAGTGTTTGCTGACTTCTTGACCGTGGAGCGCGGGCTCAGAATTATTATTACGTACTACGAACTCAGCAACGTCGATATGGCTTGCGTCSACAGATACTGGTAGAGTAACAGTGGTAATCCCTTTAGAGTTCATATCATTCTGAAGACCTTGATCCTCTTCGTCATTTACATCAGTGTGTTCGTTTGAGCTTGAGCATGCAGTASAGAAGCTCAGAGGATTCCCTCTGTTTGATACAATAGCGCTAAGACTTCCGGCGGGGAAGTGAACGCTAACCGGAAGTGATGTCACATCATCAGTCGTAAAGTCCTCGGAAGAGAAGGTGTGGATGCCTGTGTAGGYTACTTCGTTATCGTTATCAACTAATGAGCCCGCGCTGCTAACGCTGCTCATGGTGCTGACGGTCACAAAGTCTGCAGGCATCGGGTGATCTTCGCTGCTTCCTAAAAATAGACAAAACAAATATTTTTCAGTCGAATTCTGCAAAAAGTAGACCATATTGTTTTCCCATTTCGGACCACCTGTCATTCCCTAGAGTAACCTTTCTTTGTTTAACGGTTACGTATGAGAAGGCAAAGGAATATGGATACAACTCATAGAGAACATTATTCTCATGAGAATGACTCGTGGTCTGAAATGGGTAAACAACCCTCCCAAAGTAAAAGAGCCCATAGGATATTTAAGAGCCGCACCTTCTGGGAACTTGGCTGACTTCTCATGTCTCTTCTGGTGTGTGCGTAAGTTAGAAGCCGTGGTGTACGCCTTGCTACATCCATCTTCCTCGCACTTGAATGGCTTTTCACCGGTATGTTTGCGCATGTGCACGTTTAAACTACTTCCGGCAGTAAAGGCTTTGTTACATCCTGAAAAAGAAGGGAAAATATTTGTAGAAGTTGATTTTTGCGGAGCAGGGGAGAAAAAGCCGGAGAACCCGGAGAAAAAYCCTTAARCASAGGAGAGAACCAACAAGCAACTCTACTCATATACGACACCCAGTCCGGGATTCGAACCCACAGTCACCGCTACACCACCCGTGCTTCCCACGAACATAGGTGAAACAACGTAACACAATTGGCCTTACCGTCAATGGGACAGACGTAAGGCTTCTCTCCTGTGTGTACAAG